ATGGGGCTTACGTGGTTGTATTACTCAATCCATCCAACCATCCCCTCCCCGTCGAGTCGATGAGAGGATACAGAGAACGAGAGAGAGAGATATAGCTCTAAAATATCACAGAACTAAGGCCAAACCTTTGTTCAGCTGTCATTCACACTCATTGTCGCCTTGTCCCCCGGTTCGTCGACCGTAGGACATGTCCGCTGCTTTTGTCACACTGAGTTGGTTGTCCAATCTAATTTGTATCAACTATTTCACATTTGAACCTGAAAAGGGAATGTGGCACTAGACAGAGCTTTTGTGTGACTCTCTCTCTCTCTCTGTGAGAGAGAGAAAGAGCGCAGGCATTTGTGTCAGAATTCGTGAGGACTCACTGAACTAATTGACAGAGGAAGGGAGAAAGCAAGAAAACCGGGCGTTTCTGTCAGGGATCGCGGGGATCCTGTTGAGGTGGTGGGATATTTCAAACATGGATTTTCAAACCTCATTTATACTGTCACGTGACCTTAAATTCAGTTTTATGGTGAAGTCTGTAAGGTCAGAGTTGATCAACCATACGAAGACTTTCGAACCTGGAAGGAATTGATCTCGATAAGTACTTGGTGTTATTTTTACACATTGAACAAGTATTGCCATTGAAAAAGACCAGAAGACCGAACAGTTTGCACTGGTTTGACAGTTTTGACGTATATGAAGCAGTTTTCCACGGTAATTTGAGACAGAGATCTCACCTGGAAATAACTCAGATCTGACACGTCGGTTCAGGTTTAAAATCCGGAGAGAACCCATTCTGTGTGTTGGTACTGAGTGGTGTTGTTGCATGATAAGATATGATGTACATCTTAAAGAGTGAAATTTCTCAGTTCCTATCTTGGTTGGCACACTGGCTTCTCGGTACACACGGTATGCCCACATAAGTGTCCATTTCCACTCTCTGTTATGTATAAATTTAAAATGTAAACTTTCTAGGAATGCTCAATTTTATTCCGACATCACACTTAATCATAACCGGGACCAAAAATATCAATGCATGTTGTTGTGTGTTAAAAGATTGTTACTCAGTATTTTAACGCAATGTCAGATAATATGAATCAAGTTTTCATGTAGACATCTTTTATTTTCCTTGTCCCAAATCCACCTTTTCCGATTTCCAACTCCCCTGATCTCGCTCGTCATTGCCCCGCCATCATCCACGACACCAGATGGTGTTGTCTCGTACAGCATGCCTCAAGGCGGTGACCGTTCTTATGCTTCCAATCCCACCTCCTTGGGTAATCCGATAGGCTCGTCCTCGGCGAATTTCAGGGACCTGTCCTATGATGGTCAGCTGATTGGCACCAATGACCATCTGACCGAGGGGATGGGTCAGCTTATGGACAATGTGGCCTATTTAGGTAACGTGACCACTCCATTAGCCATGTACCCGTCTCAACCGGGATTCCACTTTGTGGGCTGGTACCAGCACGGTCAGACAGATGTGCCGATCATCTTCAAATTCGACACCGGTAAGTGTACACGGGTACTGATGGAATTGCCCCCTTCCCTTCCCCTCCCCTCACCCCCCCCCACCCCGTTGCGCACACACGCACATACGACATGCTCTTTGTATCGTACACAGGTATCTTGTTAAGTCTGACCAGAAAAGTTCCGATCTGTTTGGACAGTTGGTTTCTGGGCTGAACACCAGAAAGCCGTATACGAAGCAAACTGAAATCAGCCCGGTATCCATCCATCCATCCATCAGCCAAAGAATCACTCAGTCGACTGCTTCGAAATGTTTATCGCTGTGACGCCTGTCCCAGCTGATCGGGTCTTATTGTCACACGTTGAATTTGCTTTACAAACGAAACTTCAATGGAAGAGAAAGAAAGAGAACTGACGTTCAGACACATGCCCGCATATCTCAGTCACAACCCAAACGATGTGTTGGTGTGTGTTTTTTTATCGAGTCAATCATATTCGCACAATGCACGGTGAGGGTATCATCCTTCATACACAAAAGACGATTGTCAGATACACTGGTCACAAACGCATCCGTCCCACTTGTGTTTGTGTGTGTGTGTGTGTGTTTAAAGCAAACGACTTATTCACATAACTGGTAGCTGAATGCAATTTCCGTTTTAGCCGCGATCACCTAGAAATGAAAGTTTTGCTTCTATCTCTCTCCGTGGCTTTTGTTTTATGATGATGGCATTTTTTGGTGTGAGACTCGTTGTGTCACAGTGGATCGACATTTGTAACACCTCATGATCGTCAATTCAAATTAGGAATCACTGAGTTGCGTGATTTCGCATTGAACCTATCATTCGGACCGCTTGGATGATCTGTTCTCCCGTATGGAATTTAAGTACATTGTATTGCGCATCTAATCACACCACATTCTGCTGGATACACAACGGTCTCTGTGAAGAGACCACTAATGAAGACCGATAGTGTATGAGCAGTACATTAACAGGTAAGATTTGACTTCATTCGAATGTTACGCTCGCTGTGATGCTTTCATTGTCCACTTGACCGCTATTAGTTGGTTCGACCAGTATTTGACTTTTTGTGTGTATCGATATGATACCTGTTTCTATGGTCATTGTGCCATTTCTTTGTTTCATATACGCGCGCGCGCGAAACATATGGTTTGACTACGCGGAATCTGATGTCAGTTAGCCTTCCATGTACGGCTGGCTATACATCCTGGCGTGTTTCAAACATCGGCTTCGTTACGTGGATGCTTGATTGATGTTACTGTTGTCCCTCTGGATAAATATTGCGCATAGAAAACCGTCATAGCACACAAACACACGGGCATGGAGATCGCGCGTTACTAAAGTTGATTTGACTGAGCGAGAGAGAGGGAGCATTTAATGTAATCTGGGTAGTACAATGCACACGCGCGCGCTCGTGCACACACACACACACACAATCCACCAACAACACACATTCCTGGTTTTTCATCCTTCGCTCTCTGGTTCACTTCATATTCATCTTGCATTCCGCTTGACTAGATCAACGTGAATTTACTCATTTGTTGTTGTTGTTGTTGTAGCTGGATGTTTTGGCACAAAGCAGATTTTAAGGAGACTGGATCCTATTCGTCGGTATATTTCACTTTATCACAGAAATTCCAATGGACTCTGGTTTACGCAACCAGTATTCACTTGTTTTTGCCGTCAGGGAGTTTCTTATTTCCGCATCAGTCGTGCCTACCTACCCCCCGGGGAACTTGCTACCCTGGACCTTTTTCACGTATGACTGATCAGCCGGATGGCACTATGCTACGGGGAGATTATTCTCTTTTCGCATGTATTATCCTTATTGCTTAATGTTTACTTTATATCAGAACAAAACAAATAGTCCAGTATCTACTTGGGGTGGTTGAAATTCTCAGACAGGTACTTTTTCACCTGGGTTTATAGTGCACAAGACATCAAATCAAACCCGGACGATGAAAGATCAACCTTTCAATCCTGATACCTAGTAGTTCGATGGTGAATTTTTGAACCACGTAAATACTTACTCATTTATCTGGGAACGTGAGATTTTACAATGAAAATGCTCCCTTTATCCGCCCGGTTTCATCGTCACCTTGTTCGAAGCCTTAACTAAAATGTAACGTATCATTTTCGAAACACCATCGACCAAGTGAAATTACTGACACTAGATAAACACCGATGAAGAAATGGAACATACTCCGATGTTAGGCTGCACACTTTGCCCTACCTTTTGTGAGCACCGATCAAAGTCAGGCTCTTCGATGTATCCTGACTGATTGTGTCTTATGGTTTGTTCATAATTTGCCTAGGTTGTTGCCACACCGTCCATATGATCACGAGCATATTGCTGTACCAACGGTTGACCTTCCACGATCTTGTGTACGTGTGTGGTTGCGTATAATCGTTCAAAGTCACTAGTCCCCTCGGGAGTGGCACCGAATTTTACAGTTACACGACCCAATACCAGACCACTTTTGTTCAAAGGTGTGGTTCATTCCACATTATGACGACCACGGTTATCTCTTTATCCATTGCTCAAGGAGTCCCTGTTTATTGATCATTAGATAAAAGAAGCACGGGTTTTGAATTCTGATGTGGGACCTCATTGCAGTACACGTCTCTCTGCCCAGGGGTGTTTTAAAAACGAAGGGTTTGCCGTCCATTTGGTAATCGGTCTTCACAACATCTAACTGTTTTTCTTTGTTCAGTGCGAACCTTCACTTGGGTCCGATTATTCACGTTCGATTCGATCCCGCTTCGAGCTCGGTTATTCTCCCGCGTTGTGGTCGCCTTCAGTCTGGACGGTCAAACTTACAACCATTCAGTCGAGGTGTTCACCGGTCGAGCACAGCTGTTCGATCCGCGCACGGCGGCATTCGCTCGTACACGACGTGCCGGTGACGGGGTGGATCGGTTTGCCAAACGGACTCGGGCAGCCGCAGCTGCGCAGTCGCAAGGTGATCCACTGATCTATGTGGACCAGGATTGGGACGGTGCTCTCGTTCTGGAAGCGGATTTAGGCGGACGTGTGGGTCGGTTTGTTCGGCTCTCACTCACGGCCACAGACGGCTGGATTTTGTTGTCCGAAGTGCAGTTTAACTCATGTGAGTATATTTCAAATGTATGTGTTTGGAAAAAAGAAACTGTACCCGATTTGAACGATGTGCATGCAACTCAATGATCACCAACGGAGATCAGTTGTTTCGGCCGCTTAGAGTAAATATAAAGTTTTTTTGTCACACCAGTGTGTGATGAACAGCAAACGGGATGGACCTCATAGTCACGATGACNGTGACAGGCAACCTATGCCCCGGTATTTGGAGTGGCTAACCACATAATGCCCCGCTAGGTCAGGCGTTATTATAGAACCGGATGACAGCAAAGCTGCCTACCACCAAAATTGGGTGGCACTGGCGGGGCTCGAACCTCGGACCACAGGACCCAGAGCACGTTGGTGACAGTTGCTAAACCACTGCGCCACCACATTTGCCATCCCTATTTGTAGAAACGTTGACCATATATATTCTACATGTCACGGCACCAATCATTTATCGAAAAAAATACTTTGGGTCAAATATATTGTTGTCTCTGTCTGAGACATTAGGTGCACATGGAAAGTATATACGACTGGCTGTGTCCTGTAAAATGAAAGATTACTAGTCTGTGGTAACTTTATGAACTAAAGATCGATAAGTATGCGGTCCGGTTTTCGTTTGTCTTTTTTAAATTATCCCCACACTATTGTTTGGTTGATCAGTTTAATGAATGAATAAATAAATAAATAATTACGCACGAAGCACGCCAAAGAACTTACGCTTTAGTTCGCCTCCTTTCCAGTGATTTTTCACCCTTTTACTGTGATTCATACCTGTATCAGTTTAAGATATTTGGGTAGTACATAGACGGTATCTTGTGAGTTACTGAAACAGGGGAGTTTGGCCCACCGACCGAACAGGAAGACGATCAAGCATCATTGCTCTTCCCCCAACCTCTCAGGTGAAATGGATGCGCTTTTGCGCGTCGCGTCTAGTCGCGAAAACTCTTTGGCCCCGACGTGGGGACATCCTACATCGAGTAGGGATTGATAGCCCAACCAACAGTTGGAAAAATCCCTTAGTTTCTAGGCTTCTCATTGAACTTCACAAGATATCATCCAAGCAGTATAAAAACATTTTACAGAAGCGTTTGAATTTGTAAACGGGACATCTTAAACTGAATGAGGTAACAGATTTTAATCATTACGCACTCTATAAACTCTGTGTCTTGAACGAAGTGAGTGACTGTTTATATACTTATATCCTCACACACATTATACGCGTTTGTGTAATTTTGTAATGTTGATAATGTCCAATGAGTATTAACTCTTCATAATAATACATGCTCCCAACGAAACCTGTTCTGTTCCTCCAACCAGGCACTTAATGCCCCTCCAGCTTCTGATACCTTTTGTGGGCCTTGGGGTCTCAGAGGTTATCTTTTCGGCTCTGTATCGCGTTACCCCATGCGACCGATAATTTGGTTGGACGTTGTTTTTTTTATCCAACTTAATACCGTTCGCGTCGGTATATGCGTGTTCCAATCGATCACGTGCTTTTGTCATGTGACCCAGCCATCGTTGGCTCAATTTCCGTGGGCACGGACAGCAGAGCCGTGTTTGTACCTGCTTCTTCGTTATCGTGAGGTCATGTGTGTGTGTGTGTGTGTGTGATTTGGTGACAAAAAGTTTGTGAGGCGTTGGAGCCGAAACCGCCACCTGCTTAGCTTTCTTCATAGTCTTGTCATTTATCGCTTTTCATCTGGGTGGTCGATTGTACACCACACAGAGTGACGCACAGTGCGAACAAAGTCACGTTACCTGAGTGGGCACACATTTGACCATGAAACATTTTGTAGCTCGATAATGTCCACGTTCATCTGGTCATCTAAACGATTGAATACAAACCGCTCGATCCGATCGGTAGATTAGTTTCTTTTGGTTTCTGCCTATATTACTCTGCACAAATTACAGCCAACCATCCCATACGGCAGCGCGGTAGCAACTACGCATAACACAACAGCAATACAAATGATTTATTAATCTGTTTCCCCACTTTCTTTACTGTCTATTTGTTTCAAGTGACAGATATTACTCGGCTCGGGACCCAACGGAGTTGAAATTACTAAATAGTACACTGAATCGGGACTACCACTGTGCTCTATGCCGGTATCAGTTTAAAAAAAATTATTAAACAATGTGAATTACAGTAAAAGGGGAAATTCCCATGAACAAATTGCATACTGTAAAAGGGAGAGTAGGGAGCATTCGCGTAAGATCCAGTTTATTGATTCTGCGTTTAACAAGTGTAAGATTATAAATTGGGGGAAAATAGCAAGTGGGAGGGTGTTCCACGGTTTGGCA